AGCACAGTAGCATTTTGTTATAGCAAAGTTTCAGCTACAAAACATTGTTCCTCAACATAGTCACTATCATTAGTTACACATTTTCACCAGCCAAGAACAAATACCTGCATGTCACACATAAAAAATCTGCATCAGCGGAGGTGACCTACTGTCAATGTAGTCACTGCTGAAACGCACAACTCACAGCCTCACATCCACCTTTAGTTCTGCTTTAGCATTCTGCAAGAGTCAGTGAATGCTAATGGAGACAAATTCTTCCTCAGGGAGGAATTCAGTGACACACTTTTACTTCAGTTGCACTTCCCTGTCAAATGCCATTCTGACAGACTGCACCTCTGCTGCCATCTGCCACACAGATGGCAAGCAAATGTACCAGGATATTGGTGGGAAGATTCAACCTTTACGGCCATATTACTGACATCTGCCTCTAGTGTCTTGGGCCAATATAACAAAATAGCAGGCATTAGTTTTGGAGAAGCCTGTGTATGATTCTGTGCAAAATGTGCACTCTTAAAAATATCATAGAACTCCTTTAATGATTACTGCTATTACCAGGAACACAAAACAGTGCTTATACAATTATGAAGTAATATTGGAAAATCTCTAGGTACTGCCAAGCAATTCTTGATCATAACTAGACAAAAATATAAGAGCTTTAAAATAACAAAAACCATCAGGCAAAACTAGATGAAATAGTTACTTGTGGATGTACAACTTCGTACCTCTTTCACCTTTAATCAGCTGTACAAACTCGTAACATTCATTTACTTGTTGGCAGTACTGAATTTATTAAATTTAATCACAGAATCACAGGATCACAGAATGGCCAAGGTTGGCAGGGGCCTCAAGGATCATGAATCTCCAAGCCCCCTGCCACATGCAGGGCCACCAACCTTCCATTTAATACTAGACCAGGCTGCCCAGGGCCCCATCCAACCTGGCCTTGAACACCTCCAGGGGTGATACATTTGGATATTTACCAGTGAAGAGCACTGCAGCTATGAAAGTAGTTAAATTCTCTACTGATTCAATGGGTCTCTCCAAGCCTCTGTTTTCACCGTTCTGCTTTCCTAGGCTGCAGAAAGATTTTAAGCCCACAGTTAACTCAGAGGATGTTTCCTCCTCTTTATCAGCTCCCCAGCAAGTTGTTGGTACTTGCAGTTTTGATATGAGTGTGATCAGATATTTCTTCCTGATACTCATTTCCCGGCTAGTTGAGATTATGAAGGCCTGGCATAGTCTCAAGCATGAATCTTAGCTTTGGCAATACTGCTACAACAGACACATGCTTACAGAAAGCAGGCGGCTAGACAAAACAGGGTAATTTAAAGAATGTATCTAAAAGCACAGTAAAGAAATAACAGCCCCAATTTGATAAGATTGCTGCAAAGAAATGAGCTTGTAGGCTGGTGTAAGTTTTTCTTCTTCTACGTGATATAGAAATGACTGCTCACACAATAAGGTTCCAGTGAAACAGACCAAAAAATGTAGTGAGCACGTGACAAAAGACACCAGGGAAACAGATGATATCATATTCCTATTTCTTTAATGGAAACATTCTGTTACAACTTAGGTATGTGATATTCTTGCATTTTTAAAGTGTGTAAAAGAAAACGCACATAATAAAAAGTCAAAAGGACACCAATGAATGTAGATATTAAAATGACCAAGTTGTAAAAGAAGTAAAATACATTAGACAAATAAACAAAAGGTTATATCCACAGTCATGAATACTCACTCTTCTCTACACAAAAACAACAATAAATAAAATCACATTATATGCAGATAGTTCTACTTACATCAGTACAATATACTGTGCAGCTTTCCATTTTTTTTTTCTACTGGACTGATAATAGGTTTCTCTGTTGTCCAGTATTTTTACATTAATAATGAACAGTATCACCCAAAATCGGGGACAAAGTTAACGTCTACAGTGTCTATCCTGAGTCCTCTTTGTTCTGTGATAATTACACGGTATGCACAAGAGACACAGCAAATTCTACCCACTGCTTTCATCCTGCCTTTCTATCTTCTCAGTGATATCTTTCTCAGTGTCTTCTCAGCACTTTCAGGCCTGCTCAGCAAGGAAGATATTTTTACTTACATGTATCTGCGTATGGGCATGATTCAACCTGGCCAGATCCTATGTATCCCTCAAATCACATTTAAATGTTAGGTAATGGGGCTATGTAGGATTTAAAATGCAAATAAGCTTCCTGCTGATCCCCTAAAAATTAATTACTGAACAATAAAGACAATGTGCTGTGCAGCCAGGGCTTGATCCCACTCTCAGTACAGTCAATAGTATCATCAGGGGAGAATAATCAATTCCAGAGTATTTTCCCTATATCCACAACGGACATTTTCAAGCTTTGCATCCTATATTGCAGAATTCATTGCATCATCTGCCACAAAACTACATAAGAGATATACCAAATAAAAGAGGACACATTTATCACCTCATATGGCACCAGGATAACTCGCCATGAATTAGGAACCATGATACTGACTTTTTAGCGTGGCTTCGTCTGTCACTGCATATGAATTTTGCAGAGGAAGAGAAGTCCAGACCATCAACATCCATGAATCAGCATAGCTGGACTGTTTATGTTTGCTGAAGGTTTCACATACCAATAGCAAAACACCTGATCATAGTTTGAGGGGAGATAATTGCATGTTCCTTGTGCATACTATTTGATTACAAAATAAACCATTAAAACAAGATCATTTTAAAATACCCTTTTTGGTACATTTCACTGTGTGCTCAAGTGTCCTCTAGAAACATTCACATGACAGTAACACGAAGCAATAGTTCACACTGAGTGGATTTTAACCTTTCCAAAATTTAACACCTAATGAGTCCACATAAGATTTTATGAAGTACTATAGCTTAACATACACATTTTAACAGTGTCATATTATTGAGAAGATTTTGCCTTTGATGAAGAATATTAAGTTAGTGGTTAGTGAGAGATCCTGAATGAACTCTAAGCCTCTCCTTCTGAAAGCTAGTTCTGTATGCTATAAATTTGATGTATGTTGGTTAAGAGGCATTCTGAAAGGTAAATTCTGGAAGAAGTAATAGCATAATAAAACAGTCTGCGTAATGATACACTGGACATAACTAAACATGAGCCCAAAAAAGCCTCAAAGCCATGGCAGCATTATCATCTTGATCAAAACCGACCTTGACCTTTCAAAAACCCCAACATTAACTTTTATCCTTTTTCTTCTATAAGTGAGATAAAGGGAGAGATGCACTCATGCCAGACTTAAGGCTCCACTGGGGTAAGCTGAAGTTCTTAGGCTTCCTGTCATCCTCCAGAAGAGAAAAGACATGAACAAAACCTGCTGCACAGCCTGCTGACCCCTGTAGACAGCCAGGACCGAGATCTCTCACAGCTACTTGTATTAATTTCATTAATCACTTTTCATCAGTCTCAGAGTCAGAATGTTAAAAGATATCTGAGAATGGAAAAAATACAGGTCTGAAGCTGTCAGAATTCATTTCTGCCTCCAACCAGAGATCGGCACAGTGCACACACTTCCATCCTTCCACTTGAAAGGTTTCACACACATACAAATATTTTGTGCTTTCAACAGCAAGAAAGAAGGGCAGGGAGGGAGTACACACAGCATATCTGAAGGCAAAGCTTTTTCCAGCATGTCTTCAAAATATATTCCAAAAAGTAACTTGTTTTCCTTGTTTCTAAAAAGGGCCAATGCTGCCTCCAGATGTGCCGCAGGACGCATCCCTTCATCCTTCACTGCTGCAAGAGAAGTTACTAGGACGTGTTCCTGACTCACAGAAAAAGAGATGTACCACTGGAAACATGTCTGCTTCCATTTGCCCCACAGGCAGGTCGATATTGATGTCATTTTTTACAACTGCTAGGGTAAAAACTGTTGCTCACAACACCTGACGTCATCTGCTTGTGTCTGGAGCACTGCGCTTCCTGTGAGCTCAGCCCTGCAGCACAGGGTGCCTAGGAATCACAGAACTTCAATTTGCAGTGCCAGCCTTGGATGTTCTTAAAAGGATGCCAGCCTCAAAATTCCACTTAAACTCCATGAAGTTTTTAGCTAATCCAATTTTTCAGCTTTGTTTACTTGACAGGCAACATCAGGCAATTCTGGCTCTGAAACTCCGATAGCAGCTGGCTGGCATGGCCAATGCAAGGTGTGCAGGCTGTTGAACAGCAAGACAACAAGCAGCATGAGCTGAAATTACAGAAAAGCGGCCTTCCAGGGAACTGGGAGCAGGTCTGACTACGTGATGGAAAGTAGCTGTCTCTTTTCAGAGTACTTCTGAAGCTGGAGAAAAGAGCATTAAAAAAATAGGGAATTCAACAGTGTTTATTCCACTCTGGGAGAAAATGAGCAAAAAACCTCACTTGCTTTATTTAAAGAAACAGAACGGCTACATGGCTTCCCTGAAGCACAGAGGAGGGTGGTGAAGGATGTGGAACTGTCTTGAGCTCCGGAAAAGGTGGACTGAATTGCCAAAGAAATTTACGACCAGGACTATTAGCTTCCTGTCTTTGATGTCTATTCTTAGCTTTCCAGGAGCATTATGGCATTCATGAGGTGAAAATCACTCTAGAGCCAAGGTCAGCTAAGGCTGATGCAGCCTGTTCTACTGCAAAGCTGAGAAATTAACTTTGAACTGCTTCAAGATGCTGAGTTTAAAGACTGAAGATACTGCAGTGAGGGTCTGAATGTGCTTCCTTTGAATCAATGAGAGGTTTTCTTTGTTTTGCTTAAGGAGAGAGTGATTGGATCTGCAAGCCAAAAAATGAAAGAGAGCTCAACCTCCCATTAGAACTTACTGTCATGGAGCACGTTCTTATTTTGTCTAGCTCCCATCCTCCCCACTGTTTTCGAAGTATTACATATACATATACATTACATATACATATACACCTTAATAATTCTCCAATAAAACCCTATGAAATACTTTCAATAATGCAATTAAGCATTTCTTAAAAACAAACAGAAAACAGATCAATAAAATTTATTTTCAAAAATGAATGAATTTAATAAGCGGAATTCTGGCCACAATCCTGCAAAATGCGCAACATTCCTACTGCAGTTTTTAGCACTGATTGAATGTTCTGAGCGAAGCACATCACTGACTGAAATGGTAATTAACTGGTTATGAAGAGACACAGACAGCCCGAGGCACATAAACTGTCCATAAACAGAACTTCTCAAACTACCTAAGGTCCACATCAAAGCATTAGGCACCTGAATAAAGCTGTGGGTCTCAGCATACTAAATCACAGGTCCTATTGAAAGTTTTGCTTCATCTTTCTCTGTTATAGACTATGCTGCTGCAGTGGAAGTATATATGCTTCAAGTAAGGGAGTAAAGTCAAACAGTTTGTTCATGTTATTCTCTGGAAAAGAATTTTGAGGTGTATCAGCTATTAAGCTGACATATTTGGGAATTCAGTGAAAAACTAAATTATCAGAATTTGCCACTGACCAAAACACAAAGCCACCAGTTCAATTTCACCAGTTACAGGCACAGCTATGAGACTTCAAAATAAACATATGGACTCTGGGGCTAGCCTTGCTCCAATTCAAGCAAGGTGAGATTCCCTAGGATTTGGCTGTGGCCAGTTATGATGCCCTTTGGTCCCAAGTGAGTAAAGCACTTACAAGCTGAAGTCGAGCATGTTTCATGTGTTCTAAAGTGTAGGCTGAATCAAGGCCCTCCTTGTGCTGCTCTGTAATGCATATTTGTAACACAAGTAACTAATTGAAGCCAAAAATGTGGGTTTTGAAAACTCTTTGGAGAATCAATTATTATTACTTTGATTAAACATTTCCTTACCGAAGCATAAAAGTTGTGGCATTGAGCTAATGCATATGAATCAAAAAGGGAAAGAACATTAGATAGTAAAGAACCTCTGATGAATAATGTAAACTCAAGGCAGTTTTTCATCTGTGGTTCTTGGAAGACCTGTGAAGATTAGCATGAGGCCTGTGGAGGGCAGCTATGAAGGGCAAGTTTGTTTATGCTGTAGAGGAATGTACTTATGTGAAATACCTTACACAATCTCCACTCTTCTGTGGGAAAAATTCACAGCTGTATACCAACTTAGAAAGATTTTGCTCATTAATCTAAAATACTCTAACACATGAGAAAGGTTCACCTTTAGAAGACAAGAGGCGTTGGGATGTAAAGTTGTAAAGGCCACCATCAGCATCCCACCAACAGACATTTCAGGAAAAAACTTCCTGAAGCCATGATTAAAAATCCTATATAAACCTGGTAAGAGGAACTGTCATTTTAACTGAGTGACCTTTCATTCTACTTTTTTTTAAAATGCCTAGTTATAATAAGACGTCACAAAACAAACAAGTTGTCCTAACAACTTGTTGCCCCAGACAGATCTCATTGCTCTGATATTCTGCTCTGAATATTCCTGTGCTTTCCGGCTGTGGAAAGCACAGTAAAAAGGCAGGCCAACACTGCTTTGTTCCCTAACTAGTGGCTAGGTCAGTAGCATTTCAGACTGGAAGGACAACTCATAGCCGTTACCATTTCTAAAAATTTTATCCTTCAAATCATACCCTTTTTCTCTACATCCTTAAAAATTTTCCTTAAGTTTTGCTATGACAAAGTAGTCTAAAGGATAAAAGAAAAGATAAAAATAATGAAAGGCTTGACTGCAAAACAAAAGTAGATCGAAGTTATCTCTGCAATTAGCTTTTTTTTTTTTTTTTTAACCCAACCAACTAACGAAGAACTACAAACAAACAAACAAAACCATGTCCATTGACTACATAAACACAATTATTTTTAAAAATCTCCAGAAACTAATCAGGAAGTCTTCTTTCACTCCAACTCTATGACAGTATGAATGCTGTTCTAGCCTATACCCAGCTCTGGTGTCCATGAGACAAAGAGTATACACTTCTGAAAACTGTCCATTAGTCTCAGTGTTACTTTGGATACTGTTCCTTTGAAAAAGTCATAAAGGTCTTGACTGAAAAATGGGATGATATAAATCTATCAGGTGAATAATGGCAATCACAGAAAATCCTAAAGATGCCTAAAATCCTAAAATCTACCCAGTTTATGGCCATCTCCTTTTTATGGCTCTCCTGACCATCAGCAAGCAGGTGATGACCTCTGCATATGCTAAGAGATAGTGCAATGAAAGAAATAGCAAAAATATTCACATGAATTATTTCATGGAGTATTTCTCCACTGACAGAAGACAGCAGAAAGAAAACAAAGCCAGGTTTTGCCCTTCATTCACTTCCAGCCACCTCAAAATGGTTTCTCTGAATTTTCACTCTGGCTTCTCAAAGTACAAAAATTTTGTAGAATACAGAATTTAGAGCCAGTTTTCAGAATAACTACTGTGTAAAGTCTGACTATGACTCCTGAGACCAGAAAAGTTATGTTTATGAAATCAGAATAAGATAAGCCAGAAGATTTCATGCATTACAATAGTCATAGCTGGGTTTTCTCACAGACAGTACTTTTACAGGTCGTCTTCATCGTTTATATTACGTGCTGTTCATTTCCGTTTCTTGACCAGAAAGACCTCTCATCTGTCTAATGTGAAATAACCCGTCAGTAGCTAATTCATCACAGATTCAGTTTTGCTCCTGGTAAAGACAAATGGCAAAGTTCCCAGGCATACTAATGGCAGTGAGATTAAAGTCAGTCCTAGAGCAGAGTTTTACCATCCCAATTCCTGAAGATAGTTATGTGTTTAATCGTACAAAGGTGAAGTTAGCCTCACTGACTAATGTGGGACTACTTAATACACACAGTTCATTATCTTCAGGATCAGTGTTATCATCATATAAGCAATCTGGTAACTGCATTTATATTGTTTAAATAACTGTACACAGGACACACATGCTTGGAGAAGTAAAGGATTAAAAAGTTTGTTGTTATCCATAAAGTCACTTCTTCTCCCCTAAATACTGGTTCTAAAAGGCATTTACCGTTGCTGACTTTCCCTGCATGTTACTCCTATCATAAAAAATATGTCCTCAAAACATTATCCCCCTTAAGTTTTAATCCTACCAAAGCAAAAATAGATATTTTAATAGAAAAATACAAGATAAAAAATATCATAAAACTAAAATGGTAGCATTAATGTCATTTTTACACAGAAAAAAAGACCCTCTTTTGAACTGTCTCAGCTATACAAACCCCTTTGTATTTACACGTTTTGGATGCAATCCTGTGATCACTGAAATTAATGGGATTTTGCCACTGACTTCATTGGGAACAGGAACAGGTCCCACATGGACTGTGCCTCTCTGAAAGGTCATGGCAGTGGAGAGAAAAGAGCACAATAAAAACACAAATAAGATTGCAGAATTAGCCCATCTGCTCTGGAGACCTCTTCTTTTTCACTATTTCATGCCAGTGAAACTCCACATCACTCACTGGAGTTTTTCTAAGCTCCCAGTACGTAAGAGGGAGAATCAGTACTTTTCTTAATACTACACAAAAAAGGGAAGAATGATTCATGTGTGTTTCCACCTTCCTGATTGTCAGCAGAGTTCATTACATCCAAAGTACCAGCTCCCTCTCAGGATTGAACTCCATGTGTGTAATCCTGCATTTCCTGCAGTCAGGCACAACAAATCAGTGATGCAGGATCATACCCCACATTAACCAACTTTTTCATTTTGACAGCAAACCAGCATTTGTGTCTGTGAATCTGTATTTGATACCCAAAAGTGAAGTGCAACTAAGGAAGGGAGTGGAAGGAGCTAAAAAGCGGGAAACAGAATGCAGCATCCTCATCAATTAAAACAAATCTGCTGTTCTTAATACATGTCTTAAGAAATATTGTCTTTACATATTAAGTACATCCTATAACATCAAGCTGCATCATTTTTGTTCATGAGATGAAAGACCATGCGGCATAATGTGATTAGTTAATCATTCCTGAGCTTCTGAAAAAAATTAAGACAAAATTACTGAATTACTGCTTAAAAGAGTGAGTTCCTCAAGAGCCTCTTCTTACACTGATGTCTTTGGTTGTGCCCATTCCCCTAATCTTTTTTTTTTTTTTTTTCCCCCAGGAAGAATGGGATTATTTTTCTTCTTCTTTATGCAGCAGAAAAATGAGATCTAATGGAGTCTTCGCGTAACTGCCGATGTTTCCCCATGTTACAGTCCTCCTGTTGAGTTCGTCTCTCAATAGTTATTCTGTACTTCTTTCTGCATGAAAGAAGAGGAACAGAGTGAGAAATCCTTCTTCAGCTATAGGATAACAGGACCTTCCTTATAAAGAATGCCTGTAGGGGACAGCTGTGTTCCAGTTGAAAAATGGAATGTGACAGAATGTTAAACCCTGGTCAAAGATTAAAGTAGTTTGCATTGAAATATTTTACCCAGCCTCAAGAATGACTGTCATACAGCAGTCTCAAAGCATCACGACACAGACATTTGCTTCTTTGAAAAATTCTGATTTAAGTGATTAGGAAGTTTTTGTGAAATGTCATGTGAACTGTGTCACATCACTGCTTTATATTGATCAAAGCCAAATTTCTTTCCTGTGTACAGGGGGCACTTTCTGCAGAGTTTAAACAATGGATTTGACTCTTTATTCAGTTGCATTTCTGACTGAAACTGTATGTTAGCTAACTAACTGTCCCATCTCCCACTGAGAAAGCTACTATGTTTATAATATCATAAGATGAATCAAGAAAAGCGGTGTAGCACATAGATAAGATGTAAATACAACTGCTCATTCAGAAGACATACTTTTTCTTGCATGTCTTCCTCCAGGGCCTTGTGATGGATCCTGATATGCTAATTTATACATCCCTCTGCTTCTGACTGCCTTTCAGTTTCCCCTTTAGTATCCAAATCTTCCCCCAAAACCATCAGACTACCATGTTTACTTTTCATGCGTTTATGCTTCCACTGAGTTTCAATACCAATGCTTCAGAAAGGCATTAGTTCAGCCCCACCTGCACACAGTATTTTTTGTGTAGATGCATCACAAAATCTTTGCATGTCATGATTCCATCTTCTGTTCCACTTGCATGTGTAGCATTAGTCTAAGCTAGGTATGTGGTGATGGAAGAAGGATTTTCAAAACAACAAGGTTTTAATTTGGATAGTATGACTCAACAGAAATTGTTTACCCACAGGTTCCTAGACAACTACATCTGTATCCATAGGCTCAGAAGTAATTAGAAAAAATACATGTTTTTTACTTAATTTATGCTAGTCTTCCACAGGTGAGACAGTGCACTCAGCAGTAGCTCATCTACACAGACATGCCCTTTTTTCAGAAATGTAGCTCCTTGAATTTAAATCCTTTTAAATCCAAATCTTTCAGCAGAGATTGCATGCTCACTTAACACTGAGTTTCTATGCTCATTTGTATGGATTACAGATCCAGATGATAAAAACAGAGTAATTGGAAGGTGCGTGTGCAGCCTAAAAGCACCCAAAAAAGTGCTCATTTCTCCCCTCTGACCACAAATACAAAGACTGCCAACCCATCTTCGTTCAGGTGGATTTCCAACTCAAATTTTAGTGTCAGATGACTTAGAGTCTAAGACCTGTTCCTACAGTGACCTTTGTATATTTTTGTGTCTGCTCAAGTAGGCCTTTTGACCTATTTCTTGTACTCAACTACCAATTTCTCTCAGTATCAGCAAGACTTAAAAAAAAACAAACAAAAAAACCCAGAATTACCAGCTCAGATTGGGAATGTATAAAAAGATGCAAGAGCTTCTGATGAGCTAGAATATGAAGATACAGTCGTATTTTCTTTTTCTTTTTTTTTTTTTTTTTTAGGTTTTTAGTTTTTTTAGTTACAGTTAATTTGTCTTGTTTCAGATCCAAACAACACATGATGTAAGTACCAAATATTGTTAAGTATTCAATTAATAGTTCTGGTTCTCAGATCTTTTGAAACCCCATTAATTGCTAGTAAACTGACCAAGGTTTTGCCTGTTCATTTTGTTAAGGTTTTTTGTTTTGTTTTTTTTTCAATAGAGATGTATTTTCATTGATAAAAAGGATTTGATTCTTATTTGTAGAGGTTAATTCTACCCTCCTATTTGCTTTTGCTCTTCATATCATGAAAGGATAAATCATACCATATATAAGATGCTGAACTGATATAAAAATAATTTGGTCTGACAACGTAGGATCAAGTCTCAAGACTTTACATTGGCCAGCAATGTAAGAATTATTTTACCTAAACAGGAATAAAACACCGATCACCCTCTGCTGACCTCAGCTTATTCAGTTAAATGCACAGCTTTGAACTCCAAATGCTCTCTTAAACCAAATCAGACATCTCTTTCCAGCTTCCACTACAATTCCACTCATTGCTCAAAAACAAAGCACGGTACCAGGCAAATGACATAAATTTCTTACATGATCACAAACTGTGCAATTGTTCTGCCAAGCAATACCAATCAAAGAAGGCTTTCAAGGCCAAAGTAATTTAATAAGTTATCTGTGAATGAACAGAACTCACTGGAACTAGTTCCACAAGTAAAGTTACTTAGAGATGTAAACAGTTACAGGATGAGGCCCTGAGTCAGTTATTTTGATTCAACAAAAGTACAAGCAAAGCATATTCAATGTCTACGTGGAAGTGTTACCACACATGATAATGGTGTCTCCCATCAGAGATATGCTTCCAGGAGCTAAAAGGTGTGGGTGATGAGCAAAGAGTTGAAGGAATATTCAGTGAATTGGACTAACCTGAAAAAGTAAAAAGCCATTAGCAATCCTGCTCCAAGTAAGGCACCCACGACTATTCCTGTAACTGCTGATTCTCCTAGACCACCTGCTTGAAAAATGGAAAAAACAACAATCAGAGTTCATAATGAGGACTATTTGCATTCACACATTGGAAAACACACATGACTAGGAAATGAATGACCAATCCCAGATAATAAGCGAAGTCTTCAGAGTTTAAGACTCAGTGGGAATCTCTTCTACTCTAGTTCCTGACTGCTTATTTTTTGTCCCTGTTTTCCTTGCAGTTAAATAAGTAACCAAGATCAGTAACAAATACAGTAAAAAAAGAGTCAAAAATAAAGATTATACACATGCTGTTAAGAAACTGGTCTGGACAGCTTGATCTGAATCATAACGCAAACCAGGATTGCAGCATTGTGCACAACAGGAATCAGCCCTGGATATGCCTTTAGCCATTATAACAGAAACAATTCTATTTCATCTGGTTTAGGATCATGACCTGTCATCAGCCAGTTTATTAAAATGACTGATTACTCAACAGTATCAAGAATCTATGTCCTTTCAAGTTAAAACCACAGAAGCTTCTTCTTGTTCCATAGACACAGTGGGTACAGCAGAGCCCAAGTAGGGACTAGTCTTCTGCAAAGAAAATCATTTTTATGTGGATACAGCCTGCTCCTTTTTATCGTGCCTATCTGCATTTTTAGAAAATGGAACCACAGAACGGCTTGGATTGGAAGGGGTCTCAAAGATCATCAGGTTGCCAAGTGCTCAATCATAGTCACAGAATGGTTTGGTTTGGAAGGGACCTTTCAGATCACAGAGTTCCAATCCCCTGCTATAGGCAGGGACACCTTCCTCTAGAAAAGATTGCTCACAGCCCCCATCCAGCCTGGCCTTGAGTGCTTCCAGGAAGGGAGCATCCACAGGCTCACCGGGCAACCTGTTCTAGTGCCTCACCACCTTCACAGTGAAGAATTTCTTTCTGATATCTTGTCCAAATCTACCTTCTTCCACTTTAAAGCTATTTCCCCTTGCCCCATCACTATCTACCTGTGTAAAAAGTTGATTTCCCTCTTGTTTATAATTTCCCTTTAAATATTGAAAGTCTGTAATGGGGTGCCCCCATAGCTTTCTCTTCTCCAGATAGAACAAGCCCAGCTCCTTCAGTCTGTTTTCATGAGAGAGATGCCCCAGCCCTCTTAGTCAGAGAAATATTAAGGAAATTAAACTGCTCCTTCCTTTTATGTTATCCCTGAGCATTTGAGGGGTTTGTCTCTATACATCAGGATGTGCGCTTAAGGTCATCTGAAAATCCCCTCCCCTCCCCTCCCCTCCCCTCATCTGTGCATGGAAACCCCAGCCTTCCAGATTCATAGTTTTGGTTCAATCTACTTCATCTCTTCCCAGGCTAGTTGTCTCCTCACAATGCCTTCCAATAGCCTTGAAAATCATGCTGCACTGGATAAGTGAGCACTGGTAGAACTGAGCTCCACACCTGCTAATTGTTGACATAATTATTCTCTGTTCAGGGTTTCAGTTCTATCCTTTCTCATGGCTAAGACAGATTTTACCTTTTAACCCTTGGAAGGTCACAAAGCCTCAGGGTCTTGGGCTGCGCCTCAAGCAGGCATTACAACAACTATCACATTTAAATTCAGGAAAATGATTCAGAACACATAATACCAGAGGCTGCAAGACCTTGGCTTCACAAAGAATCAGCAGAGGGACACACTCATGATGTCCGACTTAAGACGACTGTGCTAAGCAGTTTAATAAGGCCTGTTACGCTGCTTCACTACAAGGATTCGTCCTTCTGACAGTTGCACAGAAGCATTACTTACATGATTTACAAGGTGTATTGTTTGTATGCTCCGAAACTCTGCTTTCATCTATTCTCAGCCTGCCATGATTCCAAGGGTATTTCACATTTGATCGAATTTCAAAACGCCCCTGCTTTCCATAGTAGTCTCCGATCACCTATGCAAAAGGAAAGGAATGAAAGATTTTATTATCACACTAGAGAAGTAAAACAAAAAGGAATGCTGCACCAATTGCTTGGACTCCTGTGTCTGAATGCTGAATCACAAAGGATGTGGCTGAAGGGGTCTTTAGGAAGTTATGCAGTCCATGCTCTGCTTCAAGGCAGAATCAGCTGAACAAGAGCATTCCTGAAAGATGTTTATCCAACCTGCTCTTCAAAGCCAATGAAGTTGGAGATTTGACATTTTCCGCAGGCAGTCATTCCAGAAATTATCTTTCCCATCACTGACTTTCCCTAGCATGTAAGCAAAAACTCCCTTGTTGCAATTAGCCATCACTACTTATGCAATTTCCAGTCGACATAGAGACTCTTCCTGAAATATCCTTTTGCATACTCACAGACACTTACCTTTCTACCCTCAGTCTTTTTTTTTTCTGTATAAACCCAGCTCACACAAGGTGTTGTTCTTTTTTGTTTGTTTGTTTGTTTTTGTTTTTTAAACTCTTTCATATTCCTTCTTGAAAGCTCTCCTTGACCTTTCTTCAAATTTTCCATAGCAGAATGAATGCTCAGGATTGTCATGAGACCGGGAGAAAGCACTTAAAATATTTTGCATGTTAGACTTCTCTATTTTGTAAGGTCTAGGAGATACACGATCAATTTCAGTTATATCTTTAGATCTTCTGCAGAACTACTACAGAGCCAGTCATTCTGTACCTCTACTTCTGCTGTTGTCTGTATTTACTCAGGAAGGGTATTTTATGCTTATCATCCTGGTAGCAAGGTCTGTTATTTCAGACCAGTCCATCGAGATGATTCACAATTTCAGTCTCATCCCCAATTGTAAATTCAGGCTTTAATTCAAAGTAGCATGCTTTGGATCTACTGCAAAGTTGCAGGATTAAACTGTGCTAGTACTAGGTAACTCATCTGAAAATAATTCCAAAAATTATTTTCACAGTAGTAAAGGAAAAAGTCCAAATATGATAACACTGAAATAGCAACGACAGCAGAAACACATCAACAGTATTAGTCTATAAATATCTATAAATATCTATTAAGACAGAACTAGGTTTTAGAATTACAGTTTTCAAATTAAAGACACTGATACACTGCTCCAGACTTTTACTTAAACTCTTTTTTGAAGAGGAAGAGTTAAAAGACAGATAACATATGCCCTGGTTATAAAGGAGTTCATTTATCTTCCAGTAGTTCATCTGGAGTTAAAAACTTGTGAGAAATCTGCTGCATTGGCAGGCAACAGATTTAATTGGGAGATTGTTTAATTTGTCAAATTGGAGTGGGGGAGTCCTCCTCTACCGTCAGGACTTAGAAAATGTGAAAGCATGCAGAAAGGCTTAAGAACAATAAATAGCTATGAAGGGACACCAAAAAGATTCAAATCAGAAATAGGATACAGATTTTCAAGAAGTAAAAGCGGTTAAACATTGACACATGCATTGAGGGAGTTTGGGAGGCAGCTCTTCATTGTCTCCAAATGAAAAATGAGTGCCTGTTGCAGTGCAAGCACTACCCATGGTAAACTGCAGGCCTCCACGCAAGGGTTAACAACCCACACACCTGCAGCGAAGCTCTGTTGGAACAGGTATTCTGTTGTTTAGGACCTTTCAGATTTAAATTCTGAATGATCCTGGAGAAAAGCTCTGCCCAAAAGGATTAATCTGGCTCGGCTCAGTTGAGAAATAAAAGTTCATGTACTGGCATAGCAGAAACTGGCAAAATTAATAAAACAAGAATCAACTAAACAATATTTCTAGAGTGAGGCACAGGGACAGAAATAAATGTAGCAAATACAAATAATAAGTAATCACACATAAAGCATGCTACTTGTATGTATATGCATCATAAAGCAGAAGAGAAATTAAAATGAGCAACATATTAAAAAAGGTAATATGAAAGAAGTAGAAGATTAAAACTGCAAAGGAAAGAACAATAGAAGGCTAAGAGCAGGAGATTAAACTGATAAAGAGGATAAAGAATTAATGGGCTGAACAAACAGAAAAGATACAAGTTGTTCACACCAGCCTTATCCCAACTAATCTGTACTCCTAACTTCATTTAATGATGATCAGTGATTTGTTGGTGGCCCCCAGGGCTTGACACTGGGGCAACTTCTAATTAGCGCCTTTATTAATGATCTTGATGAGGGTACTGAGTGCACCCTCAGTAAGTTCACAGACAACACCAAGTTGGGAGGGAGTGTTGATCTGCTTGAGGGGAAAAAGGCACTACAAAGGGACATGGACAGAATGGATCGATGGGCCAAGGTAAACCAAATGGATTTCAATAGGGCCAAGTGTCAGGTCCTGTATTTTGGTCTCAACAACCCCAGGCAACCCTGTAGACTTAGGGAGAAGTGCCTGGAAAGCTGCCTGATGGAATGGGAACCTTGGTGTACTGATGGACAGTCAGCTGAATATGAGCCAGCAGTATGCCCAGGAGCCAAGAAAGCCAGTGGCATCATGTCTTGTATCAGGAATGGTGTGGTGAGCAGGACTAGGGAAGTCATTCTGCTCCTGTACTGGGCAGAAAGTACATTGAGTACTGTACAGAAAGGACACAGGTGCTGGAGCAGGTCCAAAGAAGGGTAACAAGGCTTGTGGAGGATTTGGAGAATGTGTCCTATGAGGAGAGACTGAAAGAACTGGGGACGTTTAGTCTGAGGAAGAGGAGGCTGAGGGGAGACCTTATTGCTGTCTTCCAATATCTGAAAGGTGATTGCAGGGAGAGCTGGGCTGGTCACTTCTCACTGGTGACAGGATGAGGGGAAATGGCCTCAAGCTGCACCAGGGGAGGTGCAGGTTGGATATCAGGAAAACTATCATTACTGAAAGGGTTAAGCACTGGAATAGGATCCCCAGGGAGACGATTGAGTCACTATCCCTGGATGTGTTTAAAATCCATTTGGACATGATTTAGCAGAGGATTGTTAATTAGGGTAGTATGGTTAGGTTGTGTTTGGAGTCGATAATCTTTAAAGTCTTTTCCAACCTGAGCAATTCTGCAATTCTATGATTAGTCCTACCTCTGACAGTGCCTGCAGTTTACTGCTGGAGTTTTTCAATCATTTTTACACAAGAAAATGCATGAGACATCCTTACTCATGCAAAAAGGCTTCTTGAATTTGTTTTTGCTGCTGGACTGACAAAAATAATAATTTCACCAGACTCCACATAGAGAAAGTCCAGCTCAGTCTGACTACTGATTCACTTTTGAGCTTGCTGGGCTCTTCATGAAGATGAAGAGCAAAAGATTACGAGCAAAACTTATGTTGATGTTTACTTTGCAGCTAACAGCACAACTACCTGAAGCTGTATTCTACAGCTTGAATTAGAGCCGTGCATTAATAAACAACCCAGCCATGCTGGGTGCAACTGGTGCTATTTTGTATAGGCTGTTTTTCACTTCTGTTTCTACTCCTCCTTCTGTATCCAGTGGAATAACCCAAGTGTGGCATATGTTGTGCCCAATGGTCCTTCTTACCACTAAGTAAAAGGACTTAAATATTTTAAACAATAATTTCTTATATTCACAATTTATTAGGCTTTGCTAGAATGTCAGGTTTCATCTTTTAAATTTTAAAGACTAGCATAAAGTGAAGAAATACATTGGAACTATCAAAGAACTTTTAAGTTTAAAAATTGTTTAGAATAATTACTTCAAGAAGTTTTTTTAAAGAAATGATATGGGCTGCAGATTGACATGGTTAAGCAATACTATTTTAATGTATATATTTAAAAGACAGATGCCCTCCAAGTAAACAGATGACAGGCTGTTTTCTTACCTCCTGTGTGCCAGCCTCTGGGTCCGTCATTGCAATCACTGAGAAATCCCCGTATCTGTCCCCATTGGCATCAATGGACACCTGCCCTGCAATGCCTAAAGAATGGCATGTGAGGAATTAGAAAATTAATTAGTTAAAATACTGAGCCCTTCCAAGGAAAACAAGAAAACAGTGGACAGGTTTTTACAGACTGATATGACAGGAAATCTCATCAGTCTCCCAGCATTTTTGTTGGCATTCCAAAAGAAATTGTAATTTCATCTCAGTGTCTGCATTCCTGAATTCTTAACATTTCTCCTTTTTAAATATCAAATGTGTGAGCCTGTTTGGGGAATATGTGAGAAAAACCTCATCCAGTAAGCTGGCATGCAAGAACACTAATACACTTAATGTGGGTTATTTACAGAGCCCTGAAACATCTATCGATGCCTCAATAAGAGGCCAGCTCATGTGTGGCAGAGAACTCAGCGGCACAGCCCTATGTTCTACAGACTTACAGAGTTGCTGCATGCATAGAGACAGTTCAGAGTTGTTTCCACCTGATGGGATACTGAAGGAGTGAGGATAGGAGGCACCATGTGCATTATGCATGCATTAAATCTTGCATTTGTTTACACAGGATTGCCTGTACAATATGTTTGTGCCTTATAGTTTAGACCCGAGTTCATTTCCTTCTTTTACAAGCCTGAGGGAAAGATCAGATATTCCCTCAGGTTAGATCCCAGTCTTGCTCTACAGACTTCAACAGCATTCAGACTTTTAAAACTAACTTGACAGATTATGGCACTGTCCCAAGCAGCCCTTCAGAGAATGAAGTCACATTCAAAATTCTGCACGTGAAATCACGTCTGAATCCTGATGATTTCAGTACTTGTTTTTGATTATGAGGAATAAATTAAACATTCAATATGAATTTTTCTAGTCTTGAAGCACCATCTCTGCCTTCAACTACCATTCATATTCCAGGAAACTCTAGGAAACTTGGAATCACAGACTCACAGGATAACTTGGGTTTGAAAGAACTTCAGGAGGCTTCTTGTGCAACATTCAATTCAGAGCAAAGTCAGACAGCAATTCAGAATGGGCTGCTCATGGCTTGGCTCTACCTGATTTTGAAAACTTCCTTGGACGGAAACTGCACAACACCTCTGGGGCAACCTGTCGAATTTTTAACTGTCATGATGAAAATACATTCAGTCTGATCCTCTTGTATGTGTATGCTTTTGCCTATGATGAACACGGCTCCACCTTCTTGCTGTGTGGGGTGACAGAGCTGACCAAGCACTGACACTGGTTGCCCAGATAGGTTGTGGAACCTACACCAAAAGCCACCTGGGTATGGCCCTGGGCAACCTGCTCTGGGTGTTTCTGCTTGAGCTGGGGTTAGGCCAGATGGATCCAGAGGTCTGCCGACTTCAGCCACTCTAGGATCTGTGTAAATCAAACAGGTCCTTGAAACCCATCAAAAAATACCTGTTAGCTTTGATGAAGCTCCAGCCTAATTATAATGAAGACACTCGAGACTTTGCTGTTACACTTCATCACCCTAGATATTCTAAAATGTGATCCACTGCCTGACACCAAATACAGCCACTTACAGCAGTACAAGTTAAACAGGCATCAGTTTACATCCATGCTACACCAATTACACGACTGAGCCACGAAGTAGAGAATCAGCTTCTCAGTGATTGTTAATCAGAAAAGAGAGGTCAGGTACTCAGCTAGAGCATAAATTCCCTTCAACCTAAAAATATTAGATATGCAACAGATTAACACACATCTATTTATCTTTTCCCTGTTAAGATGCCAGGAGGGTTTCAACATACTGTGATTTTCAGAATATTCAGTGTTCACCAAAAGAGTTACTGTCAAGCAAGTATTTTTTTAGTATAACAGTAAAGCAAAACTGGACAACTGGAAATTTGATTACTGCAGGAATGGGTATAATCGCTCAGCTACTGAATAACTGAAAGCGGCCACCACAAAGAGCTGCAACAGCCTTGCCTACACAGCTGTCTGGTTTCTATATCTGATAGAAGACATTAACTGGGCCAGACACCTCCCTGGCCTAAGAAAGACAGGACAGGATTATTAGAAATAAGTACTAGAACTTGCAGAAACTAAAATTCCTGTGGGATTTTTAATGGAAAACACTTGTATGTTACTTTTCCATCTGAATCAAAGAGTATGAAATTTTAACATTTCCTGCAACATTCTTCCTTAAGAAATGTTTTTAGAAATTTTTAATTAATGAAGAACTGTGTTTCAATCCAGGTAGGAGAATTTTATCTGGGCTCTCTTTATTTCATTACATTACATACTTACATATAGACAATTCTGTTATTTTTTAGATGATATTACAAGAAAAAGAAAATATTCTCCACAAAATGTTCCTGCAGTCATATCATGGTGTCTCTGACAATTAAGCACTAAGCAATCATTTGATCACCTCAGCCATACCCTTTTCTAAGCAAACAATGTCATCTGTGCAGATGTTGCTGGCAGAAGTATATGATGCAGAAAAAGGCATCCTCACCCTGCTGGATTTCTGGGGGGGGTCACCTAATTCAGAATGAGGTAAAATGTAAAATGAGGTGCCCAGGCAATCAGATATCTAGATGCCACCGGTTAAATGAGTATCCTTAATGCAACCAGAGCTCTGATTGTCAAGGCCTACAAAAGCAAATTACAAACTTTCAGTCCTGCAGTAGACTCTGGTGAGAATATAGAATTATAGAAGTATTTAGATTAGGAAATATCCTTAAGATCAAGTCCAGCCATCAAACTGACACAACCAAATCTCCTTTAGCGTTGTCCCACATACAAGTGGATGGACAACATTCTGCAATTCACTTCAGAGAAGAGCTTAATGGTAGAACAAAGGATGGCTTGCGAGACAACAAGTTGAAGATCTCTTTCAAAAGCAGGTTTATTTTTGTAAATTACACCCGGTAAAGTACTGCCAGAGAAGAAATGGCAATGTGATATGGCATTTTGACCTTTTCAACCAAAACCTCTCAGCTCACCTGGACAGCTACATTTTCAGTATACCTTTGACAAGTCACCCAGAAACAACAAATTGGTTTTCAGAAGCAGGGGAGGAGAACATGTGCTCCTGTCAGATTTTACAAGTCAGGTGTGAGAATCAGACACATAACCTGCAGGGAGCACATAGTACTATAAAATAATGGTATGGGCACAACAGCTGGTGGCTTCCTGGAGCAAAAAAGTGAGCAAGAAAATAGGCTGTGCTAGAGTATCTGTTCACATGCAGTATAGTCAAACCATGAGCACAGTATAGCCTAACCATGAACTGTGTCCTGAGACACCAGAATCCATCTCTTAAAATTGTGTGTTCTGGGAACAGCAAAATCTCCAGCTTATGCAGGGCTCTTTGTGGGATGACTGCAACCATTGTAATTTAAAGCAGATCTTATGTTACCTTAATCCATGCTGGGGGCCATTCTCCCTTTTGGTTAGATCATTGTTTCAGAAACAGAAAGAGTTTTGGAGCTGCTGTGCTTCTGGCCTTCCTTCACAATGTCCAGTGCACTCTAAGATTATCTGGCTACCAAGTTTTTCTTACATGTTTAATTATTCACTTCTTATCTAAGGGAAAGGTTTCTCTCTCTTAGGGATTTCCATAGGAAATCTTGCCAATTATAAAGCAAAAGACAATTTTGTGATATTGGAATATTACGAGATGAATGAGAATATTACATGATGGATGAATCCAACGATATCACACTCAACCTTCAATTTATGATGATCCTCACTTGGCAAAAGCTCTCACATGGCTTTGCATTAATGGGATGACATTCATTTGCCAGTTGCAGCACATAATCTCAGCCTACAGGATTAGTAGTGCTGCTGCCTCCGTGATAACATGAACAGCTCCTGAAAAGAGGAAAATCCTTCTAGGGCCCAAAAGAGCCCTGGCAAGAAATAACAACAACAAAAAACCTGGCATCTCCTTGCCCTGATCCATTCCCAGGCTTTAAGATTGAAAAAAAAAGGTCAAATGGAAAAAATGAGGCAATCTCAGAGCTAATAGATACACAAGAGTAAAGTGAGCAGTTGTAATCTTTTCAAAAACAAAGAAAGCCTGAGAAAATTATTGGTATTTCTTTACAACATCTGTGAGGGTCATTAAATTGTTAGGAGTTTTTAAGCTGAATAAGACCTCTAGGGTCAGTGCAAAAAAAGTTCAGACTGGTAAAAAATGTGAGCTAGTCTTAAAGATCTTTATAGTTTCACACAGATATCTTCCTCTTTCTTAAGAGTGGAACAGGCACTAGTCCTTATTCTGCACACAAAAAAGACCTGATTTTTTATTTTTTATTTTTTCACTGTGAAAGCTGGCTTTCTACATATATTCTTACCTTCATATGTCCTATTACGTGTTTGCTGAACAATTTTTTCCCCGTCTTTCTTACTGAAACCAAACTTCAGGACTTCCTGTAAAGCCAGAGCATAAAGAAGAATAGCATCGTGGAATCCTTCCACAAACATGTTCACCTAAAAAAAAGAAGAAAAAAAAGCAATGGCAATTGACACATGAAAAAGCATGTGTTCCCAATGAAACCAATTATCTGCAGAGAATTTCCAAATTAACTAAAACAACAAATTTGGAGGGTGGTTTTTTGTTTTTGTTTTTGTTTTTCCAACTGTGAGCACATGAAGGAATGCCTCTCAAAGAAAAAATGAGAGAACATTTTTGAATGAAAACAGCTTTTTTTGAATGAAAAAAAACCAGCTTTTTTTGAATGAAAACAGCTTTTGAAAAGAGTTAACCGCTATATCCAAACATTTCAAAATGTGCTTTAATATTGTGTCTGAATAGTTCTGCAGATAGGGAGGAAATTTTCTGATCCTGGTTTCTATGCCCAGCCACACAAATTCTGTGGTTGCCCATGTGAATTTCTCTAACTAAGATGCTGAGTGCCTTCACCCCACAGCACTAAGTATGACCTTCTCCCGCTGCACAGAGTCCTTAGCAACTCTGCATTGAGAAGTATGTTCCACCATGAATTTTTTGGAGCACGCAACTAGTGGATTCACTTGTTTAATGATTACCACTTCCATTTCTGGCCCCTGTTCAGCTAAGCATTTCTCCAATAGCAAATGAACAATGTAGGAAACTGTTTATCCTCTACAGTAATGCATTCTCTGAAACTGCCAATAGAAGTTTCCTTTTGTTTTTTTTTTCTTCCACTGCGCGACATTAACAGAATGAAATGTTGCTTTCTAACTCACATAAAGTATCAGTGTGCCAAACCATTTCTGTCTCCCACATGTCAACACAAGCAGTCCCGTAGTTTTTGGTCTGCATCATGGTGAGAAACAACAAGTTAAAAGCAGAATGCTGCAGAAACATTACATGTTTGTATGCAAGAGTCTGGTCTGCTTCAGTGATGAAGCAATGAATTATTATTACCAGACACATGTGGCTTGAGCAGCTCAGGTATTTCTGTCCTGTAGGCAGCAATTCACATCTCAATCTGGCTTGGTGTAACATAATTCAGAAAGATTTATCTTTTCAGCTGGAAGAATAATGTCCTCATTCACTCAGAGTTTCTCTGCAATGGAAAAGTTCCTGATTTACTAAAACTAGCATAGGCCTAAGTACAGATTGCACCATATAATGGGGTCTCTTATTGCCATTTCCAGGGAACAACACATTTCTGTAAATAATCTGGACAGAAAGACTAAGCTTATCTTCCACTGCAGTATATTGACAGAACAAAAAATATTGCTAAATAAAGTTGCTAAATATTCAAACTCCCACAGTTTTAGTTAGGCACTGAAAAAGTTAAAAGATAAAAAAATGCAGACAGTTAAGTAAATAACTGCCCCACAGATAAAAAGCATTACACAGCTGATTGGCTGAGTTGAACTAACCAACTCCTGGTAATGTAATTACATGCAAGACATTCCTTCACTCTTAAACCAGTTGCCAACAGTAAGGAGAATTTCAGAATTATTTACTGATAATACAAAAGTTTATATTTCTCTGACATTTAAAATTGGACTTCTAGATAAGTCTGGCCTATGTTTCATTAAGAAAATGCACCACAACTACAGGGGAAAAGCCAATAGTGCTACCCAAGGCACAGAACAACTTAGCTCAGTCTGAGAGCCAAAGACTAATTGGCAGCTGCAGCTACTTTGACCTGAAGAGAAAGGATGAAAGAAAAGGTGAAAGTCAGGATTTTGGTGTAATAACAAAAGCTGATAGACAGAGTGCAGACAAGGACAAACTTTGCCAGTGAGGGGGGATAATATTTCAGGATTAAAAAACAAAACAAAACAAAAAAAACCCACAGAGCTCAACAACTGCGTTATATGCCAGCCTCAGAGCCCAAGTGGCCAGTGGATAGTCAAACATGGGCTTTATTGATGTGACACTCATTCTCTTAGGGAGAGAAATGAGTCCATTTAGCTGCTTTACCTCCCTGTTGGGTGATTTACAGCTTGTGGCTGGCACCAATTTCAAGGAAAGTTAGTTAGTTGCTTCCTTTGTCCATGGCAAAAACCTCTCAGTGTAACACAGCAACCTTCAAAATCCATTTTGTCAGCTAACTTGCTCGATCTCCCCTTGCAACTGGCCTGAAAATCCTCCTGTAGACTCTGCAGACTTCCCAGATGAGTGCTGGCAAATCTCACTTAGCAGTTTGGAGAGCTATTGCAGCAGACACCTGCTTTGCCTCTTGCTCAAAAACCCTCATATTACAGGGGAAAAAACACACTGAAAAATCATCAGAAGATCATCTGTTCCGTCTCAAAGCTTATCCTGCACAAACCCCATCATTTTACCTTTCATTATAAAGCAAGGTAAAACTGGTAACCTATATCATTTTACATCTTTTCCTAAAACAATACTATTCAATAATTACAGCTTGAAAGCACTTCCAATTAAAGCTGTATGTTGGGCATGCTGACTACTTTCATATTGTTCCAGTAACATTTTCAAGCACCAGTTCTTGAAAGGAGACACAGCATACCAAAAGGGCATAATGTTTTCTTCCCTTTCACTTACTCTACCACTTATAAGTTGCCATGCTCCTACACAGAGACAGGGTTGCAGGATGTGCAGGAGTACTCTAACCTACAATGTACACAATACTTGAAACAGGAAGAATTTTACAAAGATCAGTAACGCTGAGAGTTTTTAAGGGCTTGTTGTTCATTTGTTCCCTCTTCTGTCTGCCCAGAGCTTATTCAGGTGCATTTTGCATTCCTGTTCACTTTTGACTAAGATTGTTTACAACAGACCCCTCAGAATAAAAAGAGTGCAAAGATTGTGCCAGACTGTGCATGATACCACCTTCGATTTACTAGAGCAGAGTCCCAATCCAGGTAGTTCCAGGAGTTCCTTCTTGGCAATAGTAAATCTGAATGTTACTATAACTCACGTATCTCATTGGTACAAAGGCTTTTCTTTATTATTCTCCATTTTCTTTTTTAAATGTGACTTTTGTTTTACATTTAGTCTGAATTTTGGCTATCAGAAATGATTAAGCAGACTATTTTCTCTCAACAGTTTTTTACACTTTTTGGCCTGAATTTATTGGTATTCCAGAATATCTGGCAGTAAGAACAAATACTTGTGAAAAACAAACCCCAACAGCGAGCTCAAAACCCTCCTTCCTTCAGTGCAAGAAATAAACAACCATGAGAAAAAGGATTAAAAAGAGCTAGAGGAGTTCTGCATTTCGTGTCAAACTCTTAAGTCAAGTCATTGTGGAGACATCTTCACAGGTTGCTTCAGTTACAGTCTCCACAGTAACTAATAATCTGTAATTCAACATTAGACAGATGAAACTACACAGATTAAAAAAAGGCATTAATATTAATATATTAATAGGTATATTAACATATACACTAATCTTATAGGTAATTAAAGCTCTAATAAAAATATTTTTTGATAGGATTTTCCATTTTGGTTTATGCTTTTAATTTTGTTGTTGTTTTTAATTAAAGCTGAGCTTCAAATGTTGTGACTGTAATTTGAATATCAGATCTATTGAAATAGTGCTGGCTCCAATCTCTACTGCACAGCAAAGCCATCCAATCATGCGTGTCATCAGGCAGCACTGAACTTCTCTGGAGGCTGCAGTGCAAATAAGTGGAAGGCCTCTGCCAAGATATATTCCCTGTTACTTTCACACTTGATTCAGGGTAAAATACAACTAATGAGCAGATCCTTTCTACTCTAATTAACCATATTTTGTCAGAAAAGAATTTTTAAAAAATTACATTAATTTTATGCAGTTCAAAGTTATATAGTTCCCCAAGCAGCTATAGTGTGACCACACAATCCATATATACCAAGGTGTTAACAACATACACAGCAATGCAAAATAGTACCGACATGGAAGACAGCCAAGCTGCAACTATGCAGGTCCTATAATTTTCCATACCCTGCTCTCTTGACTGTTAAGTAATGTTATTCTCTTCCATCTGAAACAGCTGAGATCTGAGTCCAAACAATTAGAGTAATTTACACCACTTCAGAGCAAGGTGGGGAGTAATGATGATCATTACTACCTCTCAGTGCAAAAACAAATACCTAGCGTTCCCCAAAGCAGATGTTTGAATCTACCTTTCTGTACATTCACAGGGATTTTCCAGTTGTTGGACTACCGCCCCAGCCAGAACTAGTGAGGACTCTGCAGGAACTGCATGGAACATACCCAGACTTTTTAATCCTTCTTCAGCAACTCAACTGTAACAACTATTCTTATTTTATGAGTTTTTCCAAGAAACCCTCACGTTGTTCACTTTTCTACATCCATTTCTGGATGTCTAACTCTGGTCATCTTCTGCTGAATGACTCACAGTCCAGCAACACACTCTTCAGAAATTTTTGAACTGGAACTTCTATTTGCTGATACTGTGCTATTGCCACAGGTGCTGTCACAGCTATAATTACAGAAACCTGCCTTCTCCAGACAATGCTATTTCCTCAATAATAATTCGTAACTGGAAAGCACACATGGCATTATGCCAAATTCTGGGCAACACAGATGTAACCAAGGTGAAACTCTTAATGTAGCTGCTGATACCAATTCTGTGTAAATACATAAGCTGGCACGTACTCAAGAAGTCATTATACCAGAGCTTAGGACTTGGTTTTCAAAAGGACAAATAATTTTCCAAAGCCTCATTTGTAATTTTGGGCTGGATTCTACATCACATCTTAGAAGAGGATGATGAGCATTCCCAAGTGTGAGAAGATGTCATATAACAATAAATCATCCTGCTTACTTTATTCAAACACTGTTGCATTTCTCAATGGATCATGAATTCAGACTTTTACAGGAAGGTGATGTGCATGCAGAAATCCAGATGAGCCTTTTTATACAGAGGTGCACGCTATTCTGTTAGAGAATTCTGCAAAGTTAGGGTCACACTGCTTTACAATTACAGGTTAAAATATCAGCCTCGACAAATTTATTAGCATTGCAGTTGAACAAAATATCACTTCCCTTTAACCTTAAGAAGGCTTTTTCCAA